GGGCCGCTAGAAATCCACAGAGAACTGATCAGAGAAAGAACAGTGTGAGTTCTTCAATTTTCACATGAATCTGTTAGAAATTAGAACCAAAGTTTACTTCTCTTCGATAAAGTAGTAAGTTTGACAAATCAGAGGGTGTCTTCATAGAGACGGGTAAAGAAACAGCTAAAGAGGTTCTGAGATTTGTTGCTAATTAAATCTTCTCTGATTACTAAACTTCTATGGCAGTCACTCTCTTTGCAGACTAGAAATGTTGCATTTTCTAATTCTTCATTATCAAAAACTTTATCATTGTCTTAAACTGTACAAAATGTTATAAAGAACAGAATTCTCTCTCTTTACCACATTGCCACCTTAAAGATTTTTTAATTGACTCCTTAATGTTCAGATGCTAGTAGGTTGACCTTTTTGTTTCTGTCCGTCTGCTGGCATAAGAATTTATTTTCAGATCTTGCCAAGAGTCTTATGAAAAATAAACTGTCTGCCAGGAAGCCATAATTCTTTTATTTTTTTTCTAAACTCTGTTAACTGGTTAGTTGACTCAAATCATCATTTACTCATCACGTCATTTACTCAAAACAAGCTTTGTCTGTTTCAAAAGGAACAAATTGAACTCTGGCTAGAAGTCAATCGGGCCCCTAAGAACCTGTTCTGTGGGGGTAGAGACGCGATCATACCCATTATGTGTATCCCCCAGCACTCTGTACACTCAGTACATGTGTATAGGAGTGAAGGGAATCACTTTGGGCATTCAGGAATGTGGTTGCCTGTTTTGACGCATTTTAGAACTTGAAACCAGCTGCGCTGTTAGGTGACAAAATAGAGCTGTGCTGTTCATCTAAGATAACTAGATGTGACATAGGGCATGTGTATGATTAGTTCACACTGAGGTCTTTAACAATATTTGTTCGGCTGCTATAGATGGGAAAGTATACTGTCCTTGCCACTCTTTACTGGGATTATTACTTTGGGTTTTGGTGTTTAGTGGTAAATGAGAGGAGAATTGTTGTTTTATCTATTAATCAAGCTATCCGGAAGTCTCCTTTTAAAGTCAGGTTCTTCGTTCCAGTGCCCTTTTCTGGATGTTTAAGGTGTGATGTGCTGAGACTCTACATTTATGCAGTAAGGCCTATGACTCAAGGAGATGTCAATTCTCGCTGTCATGACTCTACATTTATGCAGTAAGGCCTATGACTCAAGATGTCAATTCTCGCTGTCACCCTTTAGTTTCAGAAGTTACAACTATTGTATATGCTTCAAAGGAAGCATATTCACATCTACAAAATAAATACATTTAATGCTGAAGACTACTTTTCTTAAAAATAACCGTTTTCTTATCATCTAACGTTTACTTAACATCCTTTTTCATAAACGTAAAACATTTTAAAAATTCATTAACTATTTTGGTGGTCTTAGTTTTTTAATGTATAATGCTTATTGATTTCAGTCGTCCTGCAAGGAAACACACTCTGACCACAACGACAGGAGGACCTGCCTGTCACTCTGATGAGACCTTCCCTAGTTTATTCATGACGCATGTAGCTGCGAGGTAGCATTTCCTTCCACACTCAGGAGCAGCGTGTCTCACGTAAGGCTGGACCCTTTAGTTAACAGTCCTGCAGCTTCTGGTAGTTGTAGGCTGTTCTCCGAGTCACAAAATGCCTCACAACGACCGTGGCCACAATCACAACATTCAGAGCAAGGACCACGAATGAAAACAGGTGCAGGCTGTTGAAAGGTTGATTCTGAGTGTCATCTCCGTGATTTTGATACTGAAATCCTGTAAATGAAAACAAGGTAAAAATGATCTAAAGGAAAGTATTACTTGGCATTACAAAATTTTCATAAATGTGTATCTCTACATAGCCTATGAATCTCATGCACCAATTAATGTATCACACCAACACAACATATAGGAACTGTTATCAAATATTTGAATTAGTTTATGTTTATGTTTCATTTCAAAGATAAAATGTCCTTTCATTTATTTGTTTAAATGGCTAATTCAGTTTGGTTCCCTGACATAAGGTGAAAAACTTGTGAAATTCAAGCATAATAATCAAACAGAATGAAGGTTCATTTACTAATGGTCACTATTGCCCAGTGTTGTCAAAATATGTTTTATTGTTGGAGAAACAATCTCTTCCTTTGAAATTGAAAAATATTTTTCTAATTCAAGACTTTTCAACTAATTTCAAACTATCATAGACGCATTGTCTTTTTAGCTAATGTGTTTACACAATTACCGAATTTAATTTTTGTTGGTTTTTTTTGTTTTTGTTTTTGTTTTGGTCATAGAACTATCTTGCACAGACCAAATCATACTCCTTCACAGGCCATTCAAGTAATAAAGACAAATCATAGGATTCTTTTATACCAGGATCATTTTCACATAAGAAATTCTTATAAGCAGTTTTTATTTAATCATGGTTTATCCTAAACCACTGAATTATGGATTATCCTTGAGTATTTACCATTGCCTCTTTTTCATGAAACTTGGCAGAGGTCTAGTTTCGATCCTTTAAAAAGAAGCAGGGATGTTTTAAAAATATAATATTTTCTGTTTTTTAAGAAAAGCTTTTTTTTTCCCCAAATAGGTGATAGTGTGAGATGCTGGTTCACCTTAAAAATACATTGCTTTTGACTTATTTATGCGCCATAGTGTCTATAATAAGTCAGAAAGCTAAGGAAAAATGTTGTGTTTAGAAGTGAGGACATTACATTTATACTAAGAAAAATAAAAATTAATCTTGTGCGCTTAAAACTCATACCCTCTTTAGGAGATTGCTGAAATTATCGTAAATCTCCAACCTCTATGTGCTTAAGAAGAACCATATTTGAGCAGCATTTTCTGAGCCACAAAGTATACTTAGGTCGTGAAATAGCTTTTTTTCTTACCGGAATTTGCACTTGCACGTCGATCTCTTTTCAGACGAATGGGTCCTATGATGGCATCAGTCTTCCATTTGTATGAAGAAATGTCTCGTTTCCTTCTAGAGATGCAGCCTTGGCTGCAGCGAGACTGATTGTCACCACTATCACATATCAAAACCTTACACTGTAGATACACGGAGCTCAGACTTTTCAAGAATTTAAAGGCATTAAAGTGGAATCTTCCGTAGTGTCCAGATAGGGGATACACCTCACAAGTCTCATCTCGATTACATCTGGAGTAGAATTGATGACACATTTAGAAGGTATACAGAAGTTCAGTAGTTTCGATATTGAAAAGAGATGATATAAAGTTTTCTTTAAACTGTCTAATTTTTAGATCGAAAAATCTCCCTAGAAAGGCAATTCTTTAGCTCAGACCACAGTGACTGAGCCTACAGACCTAGGTCCTGGGTGAGATAGTTCCCTCTGGCTCTAAAATTCCGAGTCCATGTGAATTCATTAGAAAATTAATTCTGATGTATTAAATTCAAACACGTTGCTTTACATACTTGCCATGAATGTGTCAGTTTGGCTGATATAGTTAAAATCCATCCGATTATAGGGGGAAAAAAGGAGAGCTTTTAAAAAAAAGAATTTGACCTTTTTTTAAAATAAGAATGCCACATATACTTTACTAATTACACGTTTTCTGGAACATATGAAATAATCTTCTGGGTTTTTTTAAATAACCAAAATGTGTGGGGAAAAAAGCAAAAATAAAATCTTCTTGACAAAACAAATTTGTTTCTACCAGCAGATATTTTGTAAATGTACTTAAAAGTCTAGTGAATATGGACTATGGCTATAGAAATGTTTTCACTTATTTGTAGCTAGCACGCAGTCACTATTTTATGAAAAGGTTAAATTTATTAAATTCTAAGGCAGTAGTACTAGAAAATATATATGTATATATGAGCTATATAGACATTACTTCGTTAAAGTCATTACTAATCCTCGAAAAATGTCATCGATCAGTACATACCCACTCTCGATCAGGTCGTAGGTTGGAGATGCAAAGTCAGGTGTGGGAGAGGCACTGCAAGTATCAAGAAACACCACCAAATTTGGATCTGATGCTTGCAGACTGACTTGGACAAAAAGAGTTTGGTTCAAATCCACATAATATGGTGACTTCTGTATAGGCTTTTCAAATGACTCGGATTCAAAAAGAGCCATACTTGTGTTATATTTTCCCAGTGCACTTTGATTTTGGATTACATCATCTTCTGTTATGTACATCATCTCCACGGTAGAATTGTATTCCATTTCACACTTCACAATAATCTGGAACTGTTTCTGACGGGTGATGACATCAGAAGTTGAGAATGTCGTGAAGGTGATTATATTGGTATAAGTAATTGAATGATCTTCTACCTGCAGCACAAGATGGAATTCAAATGTTATAAGTCCCGTAATATTTTAGAGCATTGATGTGAATGCCATTTGCCAGTAGAGACATGATTTTCTTAAATCGCGAGATAATGGTTTTCATGTCAGAATACTATAAACCTTACATGTGTGGGGTTTTTTTAAGAAACATTTTTGGTAGAAAGAAAAAGTGTGAGTTGAAAGATTTAGGTTGGATCAGAAAGACTTGGAAAATTAGACAGAAATTTTTCGTTACATTAAAAACAATTTCGAATACAAATTTTCAGCCATATAAGGATTTTAGACCCAATAACATATTGACTTCCATAAACAGCACTAAGGAAGGATGGCTAACTGGGCAGTTTCCCAAATGTATGCAGATAGAGGTCCTGCAATAGCCTCAGGCTGCCTTCCCTAGAGATTTGCATTGTAATATCCCAGGTATACATTTTGGGCAAAAAAATAATGATTTACTTCTTATCAATTCCTGTTCAACAACCTAAGCGAAAAGTCCAGGGTATGTATCAAGGGGTCCCACGGGTTGAAAATGTCTTGAAGTTCTAGAAAATGTAGAACAAATCACAAACTTACGTCCTTCATGTTTAAAGTAAGGATGTTTTTACCTCCTGTATTTATAGGGAAAAGAAAATCATAAAAATACAGCTAGATTTTTGCTAAGTATGAGATGTAACATTTTCTATGCAAGTATTACTAGTGGGCTGTGAAACCCACAGCATATAGATATATTCAAACTCCAGTGAGTTCTCAGAGTTCTTTACCTTTTGGGAAAGATAACGACCCTCTAGTTACCCTGAGTATGAATGCAGTAAGTTGGCCCTTGTGTGTAGATGAGTGTGTGCACCAAATGCGCATACGTGCTTACCACGTGTTCAAGTACTAAGATTTGGAAGTCGTTGGTTAAAGCAGCCAGCCAGTATCACGCCGTCAGCATTACCCCACGGCCTCTGGCATTTGACAAAACCCAGCTATTGACGCTTCACTCTACCTTTTTGATTGTTCCGCATCCATCAAGGGGGATAGAAAATTCCACAACATTTGATATTTTGGGTCTGCAAGTTGGGTCATTTAGTTTTAAGTTAATCTCATTGTATCTCAATGATTCCAGGTAGGATTTATTTATGATAGCTCTCATCTTGTCAGAGGAGCAAGTCAAAGACGCTGTTAAAAAAAAAAAAAAAGATTATCTTAACCAGGAACTTTGGATTTTAGAAAGCTACGTGTGAGCAGGAGAATATATAAACACGCAAAACCCATTTTGCCCTAAACTGTCATCAGAAGCCCGAGATAGCAAAGCAGATGACGATCCACTGCTTTACAATGTTCGCTGTGACCTTGTTTGCAGCCGGAATCTATAAACCTAATGTTTTTAATGGCCCTTTGCAAAAGGCATTAAGGGAAACCGAATTTTCTGTAAAAATCTTTTACAGGTTAATACAATCATTAATTTCCTCTTGTATTAAGGAATACACAGAACTCAAGCTTCTGATTATGAATATGTTCCAAAGCGCATGTGACAGGCTTGCACGCAGGGAAAGCCACAAGTAGGCTAAAAATTAAGGAGCCATTTCTACGTACACAATCTTCAGAGGGCTCAGAATAGCTAAGGGAACATGACTTACTCGTGTTGACAGTTTCCGTGTAAATCGAAGTGTAGGAAGCAGAAAAGCCCCGGTAGGAATTGGCATAATCTGTTGATAGCACGACGGTCAGGGAGTCTGATGAGGATTCGAAGGTGGGCCTCACACGGCCGCACACTTGTCCAATCAGGCCGGAGGTGGTGGAGGAGCCGTCATACACAGCAACGAAATCAAATCTGCATTGCTCGTCCACTTCCAGGCTGGAGGAGCAGGGCGTCTGGTAAAACAGCTTTGCAAACCCACGCAATTCTATTTTCTATAATCTCAACCATCCCAGTCTTAAGCGATTAAGGATTTTTCCTTACAATGACATCTCAGGTTTAGGATGACAAACCTAGGGGTTTGCCAGTCCCTGGTGACCTCCACAGCTTCAGAAAAATAGTCAGTTTAATACAATAGTATCTGTTCCTTTTATACATCCCATTATTTGAAAAGTGTTTATTGATGGGGGGAAGGGTGTATGTGAAAATTTCTCTTCTCCAAGAGCCCCATTTGCCAGGTGGACTCACTGCACTTGCTCCAGCAGAAGTGGACCATAGTACTTACAAAATCTCTTTGAAGTTCAATTTTATCTTGTAACCTTTCTCCACTTGTATGTGCCACACACAATAGGCCATCTCAGGATGTGGCTTTGGGTAATTGGGGCTGGTAAAGGACCCTTCGAGAGTGTCCAGGTAACCACCGCACTTCGGGATAGCTGGAAAGGAGTTGAGGATGACCAAGAGTGTAAATCAAGACAGACTTTTCCTTTCTGTTCTGTGCGTGAATCAGAGTTGCTTAAGTCTCACCGAGTTTAACTTCATTTCTCTCTTTCGAAATGGTAGCACACTGAGATTTTCACCCTTATCACTGGAGTTTCTGCCCATCGGTGCAGGGCAGAGAGGAAATTTTTATAATACTGCCAAATACTATTAAACTCACTATAAGATCTGTCCCAGCTGTAGAGACAGACCCTCCATTCCCTGGACTGAGCCGTAGAAAACGCAGTCACACTCTGAGGACTAACACTGGAGGCTCCTCCTCACTGAGCCCCGGCCTGGCTTTCCAGGCTCACTGGCCACGACCACGTGACCAGCTATTCCGGCCTGTCCTTTCTTCCCACGTCGCCTCAGGCTGGGGGCTCCAGCAGACACGAGGCCTCCACTGATTCCCGCCGTTCCCTCCCCTAGTCACACGACTGTTCAAAGCTCAGCTCAGTGCCGCCTCCCCAAAGCCGCCCTGGGCTCCCCCTCCCCCAGGAGAGAGCACGCAGCTGGACAAGAAACACGAAGAAACCACCCCAAAGGCTCCTTTTAGGGGGCGGGGAAATGGTTCGGGTGGCCTGAAACACAGGCTACGCCTCAGGTAGCGGCCAGAGGTGAGGCGTGAAAAGGTGCCCGCGGTCCCGCCTGGGAAAACCACCACCGCTCCACCTGGACATGTGTCAGCACCAAGGAATCGGAGGTTTGAGCAGAGTGACCTGGTCAGCCCCGGGCCTCGGAAAGACCCAGAGTGGGGCTTGGCGCGTGAACCCGCCCACAGAGCTGCTCGGCCCCGTCGGGCTGCAGTGGAGCCTGGGAGCGGTGCCTGCAGAACCACGTGACGTCGGATGGCCGACCGGTTAGGTCGGTGCTTCTCCTTTGCCCTCCGGTCTTCCTCAGTCACCTGGGGAACCTGTTGAACGTAAAGGTTCTCCAGCCCCAACCCAGAGCCTGTGAGTCAGCGCAGAGGCGGGGCGGGCCCTGAGTAGGCATCTCAGGAGACCTCAGGGTTGTCATCAGACAGGCAGGACCGAGAGAGTCTGCTTCGGTCTCTAACACGGTGCAGAGATCTGATCAGCATGTAACCCAGCCATCTGTCAGCCCCACCCATCTGCCTCACCTGGGACCTGGTTAGAAAGGCAAATTCGTGGGCTCCAGTCCAAAAGTAACAAATCAGACTCTCTGTGGTGGGGCCCAGGAATCTGATTTCAGAAGCTCTCTAGGTGATTCTTATATATGCAAGGTAGAGACTACTCTGGCAGACAGATGTCTCTGAGGGAACAGACTCAGACTCAAGATTACAGCCCAGGTGAGAGAGTGTGTAACCTTCCGTGCCAAAGGTGCTGTGTGCATAGGAATCATAAATGAGAACTTACAGGTGCCAGGAGAGAAAAAGTAGTAAAAGATGAAGACGGTTCTTTGAATTTTTGCAGAGTCAGTGACTACTTGAAACGTCAGTGTTTTGGATGCTGATTCAAATATGGGAACGTAGTGACTTGTACTGCAGACTTCCCCCAGCAGAGACCCATTGGTAGAGTTTCCGTCAAAGACTTTAATGTTTTCACGTTCACAACTTCCATCTGGATCAAGCCTGTGAACAGAACGCACCTGTGTTTAAAGAGCCACCAGCAAAGAGGGTTTCACAGAGAAGTCAACTGTTCGCATTGGCATTAGTTTACCAAGCAGTGGTAATTCCGTCTTCATTTCAATGTCTCCAAGACCCCCTGTGCACACACACCTCCATCAACATCCAGCCACACGGCGCCGATCTGCAAATGGCTCAGCGAGTGGAATGAACTGCTTTTGCCAGCGTCTTACATGAAGCGAGTAGGGAATGGGGGGGCCTGGAATCCAGGACTCTGCCCCTTCTCCCCGTTCTCATCTCTCCCGTTCTCCGTACCCATTTGACTGTTGGGCGCAGAACCTCCCTGTTTAGAATCGGTCCCCTTTGTCGTTTAAAATCCAAAGCTGTTTAAAGGTGAAGCAAGTTTTTTTGAAATGGCCACCTCTCAAGGTAAAGTAAATGGGGCCTCTCCCTGGTTGTCCCTTCCTTCCCTCACACCACCATTTCGTCCTGAGTCCCACATCCCGCCTTGGACAGGGCAGTCCAGGGCTGTGTTTTCAGCCCATGTTGACAAGGTGCCTCCAAATGCCCTCAGAGGTCACATTTCCAGGATGACTTAGAGGAAAAACCACCAGGGCCGGCAAACCCGAATTCTTCCCCCACCTGGGACACCTCCGTGTAATCTGGAGAGTGACTTAACCTGTCTCGATTACAGTTCTCTGGCCCGCAGGTGAGATTCTCACACCGACTTTATGCTTTGGCACGTGGGCTGATATGAGGGCATGAAGTCCCAGGCACAGGCCCGGCACACAGGCGGGGTCCGGGAAGCGAAGTGTCCCTTCCCCCTTTTCTCGTGCTTCCCACGCTTCTGCTCTCTCTTCTCTCTTCCGACGCGGCAAAAATAGTAATATGTGTTTCTCAACAGCTCTACCATTCCAGGAAGTTTGAAAGCCCACCTTCTCCTTTGTTCCTTTGAAGGCCAAACGGAAGTTAGTTCCTCCTGCACTGGCATCGGACCGTGACTCCCAAAGTGTAGGACCTCGACCGCAGCATCACCCGGGAGCTGGTTACTTATGGGAATTCTCAGGCCCCGCCCACCCCATCCAAATCAGAGAATCTGGGGCCAGGGCCCAGCAGTCATGGCTTATCAAACCCCGCAGGTGTGTCTGACACCCTCTCTGGTTTCAGGACCGCTGGGATGGGGGGAGAGGACAGCAGTTCCTCAAACAATGCCGTTCTGTTCAATGCCATTCCATTGTAACGTTGATGACATGCCGTGGGCCCTTAACTCTTGTTTCTATCAGTAAGCCTGTGGTAGAATTGGCGTTGTTATGTGTCGTTTTGGTTAAAGTCACAGAACCTATTGATGACACTCGGTGAGGACTTACTGAGCTTGCTGCTAGTGTAGCCTACATATACTTGTACTTGCAATGATTAAAAAGGGAAATTCAAACCGACAGCCAAGAGTCTGGTGACGAGGCTTAGAAAATAAGGGTTTGACTCTGAAGCCAGTTTGTTTGGATTCAATTCCTTTCCCACTTTTATGAGTATGTGATTTGAGGGGCATTTAAGGGACTTCTCTGGACCTTCTCACGCAGTGAATGGGGATTAGACTGCATCTGTCCCGGAGGGCTGGGGGGTGGGGGCCTGCTCTCAGCTTGACCCCCACTGCAATCACCTGGGCCCTTATAACACGCTTGTGAGTATATATGGCAAAATAAAATGTTTACAATAACACACACACACACACACAGTGATGCCTGGGCCCCACCCCCAGAATCGTGACCTGACTCTACACACACACACACACACACACACACACACTGATGCCTGGGCCCCACCCGCAGAATCGTGACCTGACTCCGTGGGGTGCAGCCTGGGAATCTGAGATCGTGGAGGTTCCCCTGTGGATTCTATGCACAGTGATGTTTGGAACTACAAGTTTAGTGTTTTAGGGCCTAGAACCTGGAAGGAGGCTGGCTGGATGCTAACCCGGGACAGTCCACGTACTTGCTCTGTGACCTGTGACAACTCCCAACCTCCCTGTGCCTGTAGCGCTTGTACCAAGCTCGCAAGACCTCTGTGACCAGAGCCAGGGGCGGGAATGAGTCAGGGCCTATCAGCCATTATCATCACCCTGGGCGTGGGTGTTGTCACCACCTAGAGGGCAGATGCCTTCTTCTCACAGAGACCCAGAGGGGTCGGCCATCCCCATGAGGACCTGAAGCCTCTACTTACTGGAAATGGGAAAAGACGATCCTGGTACTCTTGTTTTCTGGTCTTTCTAGAGTCCAGGCACAGTCCTCGTCGGAATTTAATTGCAGGATAAAGGCTTTGTGGATCTCTGACTGGCTGGCGCCTCCCAGGCTGGCCCTGCAGCTGGATTTGCCTGGTAGAGACCACAGGTGACATAGAGTGTCGGCAGCCCATACCCTCCTCATCCAGGGCCTGGCAGTCTAACCCCACATGGAATATCCACACAGGCAGGCCAGTAATTGTGAATGGTAATTTAGCTCACTCCAAAGTCAGCCACCGGCAATTGATTTCCCGTTCTTGGAGCCCTTGGGGAGAAATTTATGATTTCTCTATACATGGTGCATCAAAGAATAAATATATTAGGGCCTGAAGCAATAGTTTTAAAAAGAAGCTTTATATCTAGAGTATACGAAACACTCTTACAACTCAATAATTAAAAGACAACCCAATTGAAAATGCGCAGAGAACCAAACTAGATATTTCTCCAAACAAGACACAAATGGCTCCTAAAAGAGATGCTGAACACCATTAGTCATCAGGAAAATGCAAATCCAAACCAGAATGGGATACCGCTTCACACCGATTAGGATGTGAGACAAAAACGAGAGTCAAAAACAGAAAATAACAAGTGTTGATTAGCAAAGGTGTGGAGCAACTGGAACCCTTCACCGCCGCTCAAGGGACTGGAGTATGGGACAGTTCCTGCGAAAGCAGTCCGGCTAGTCGTCAAAGATGAAACAGAGAGTTAGCATGACCCAGCAACTCCAGGGCTAGCCATACCCAGAAGGGGAATGAAAATAGGTCCACACGAAAATGTGTACACTGATGTTCTTAGCAGCACTAACAACCCCCAAACGAAAAGTGGAAAACCCAAATATTCATCAACTGATGAATAAGGAAATGAAGTGCGGTCTATCCGGTGATAACCAGGAATGAGGTGCTGATGTACATGGCACAGCATAAATAAACTTGTAACCATGGTGTGGAGTGAAAGACCACATAGGGCCTGACGCCCTTTGTACAAAATATCCGGAATAGGTCAATCTACAGAGGTAGAACAGGAGAGCAGCGGTTCCCTTGGGGACGTTGGGGACATTGGGGAAATGGAGAGGAACTGTTCGTGGGTACGGAGTTTCTTTGTAGGGGGATGAAATGTTCTCGAATTAATGTTGATCATTGCATAATCCTGTGTCTATACTAAAAGCCACTAAATTTCACAGTTTGGAAGGATGGATTTTATAGTATGTGAATTATATTGCAATAAAGCTATTGTAGAAGAGGCAGACCAGCAGCAGCAACTATAACTGAATGTGAATTTTTAAAAAATCAAATACTTCGTAACAGAACTTGACTAATGGTTAAAAACTCCACTTAGAAACGAAGGTGTTCGTTTTCATTTTTATCTGTGACAGATGGGTGATGTCCTTATAATGATAGTCTTCTATTTCGTTTTCCCTGACCATAACTGTTAATATTATTAGTGAAAAAAACTAGGAAGCAAAGACAATTAAAGAAAAAATATATAACCCCATCTGCCCAAGAACGATCATTAAAAACTTCTTGCAAATATTTCCAGAACCCACCTTTCTTCTTCTCTCCCACTTCAATTTTTTTTAATTCTCAAATGTATGTATTTTAAATATAAACATCATCCTATTGTACAAATTTCAGATAGTTTTTTTTTTTCCTTTTAAGGTAGATCCTAGATACCCTTCTTATAGCCCAGTCTTATCTTTCAGAAATTGCCAAAGATTATTCCTTTGTATGGATTTATCATAACTTACAGAATAAGTGATGGAAATGAACATTGCTTTTTACGATTATGTAAGTGCACGGTACACATACCTTTGTGCACTTATATGAGTATTTCCTAAATATTAATTCTTAGTAGTGAAATTACCTGGTAAAATTCTTTGTGCTTTTTTATTTTTATTGCCTTATGGGCCTGAAAAAAAACTTTAGTACTAACTTAAAATCCCATCAAAAGCATATGAGTAAATATTCTGTGTGTTAGGGCCAACGGCAGATATTAAATGTTTAAAAACTTTGGGCAGAGGCCTCTTGAAAGGAGGTCTCCCTGTTTTGATTAAAAAACAGATTCAATTTCTTACCTTCAGATTGAGTTAAATTAAATTCTGCCAAACAAGACACAATTAAAAGAACCAAAGGGATGAGGCTTCTCATGGCTTCCATCTTCGTAAGCAGAGGAATAGTAGAAAGGGCAAGCGAGCTTTTATACTTCTCTGTTCTACAACTATCTGGTTTCATAAGCCTCCTGGTGACCTCCAGGGACATGTGTTAGTTTGACCACATAAGGAGTAGATTTCCATAAGAATATAGCAGCTGCGAGGCTGGTCTATTATCAGCAACCCCAACAGTGAGTGTTTGCTCTCCTGGGAGCACCGAGATAAAGGTCTCCCAGGGCATCTGCAACACTTGGCATACAGTGGGCACTGAAGTTCCACGTGGTGCAGACTGGGAATCGGGCCCTTGCCCCGTTATTTGTTCAAATCGCAAAGGGGTGACATCGTTCACACCTTCGGCCTTCACTGCCCTTCTTTAAATATTACAGCCTTTGGATCACCTGAGGGGTGGGGGTGGCACCTGGGCCACTCTGATGCCTGCCAGGGTGCTAACGGGGCAGGTCCAGGTTCAGCTCCCAGGCATTTCTATCTGGTTACGTCCAGGAAGCCTGAAGAAGGCGAATTAAGTCCCCCGGGCACTGTTTTATGGATGAGAGAAGGGACTCTGGTGTCCAAGGTGAGAGCAGTGCTGTTGGGGCACGTCCGGCACCTGTGATGTGCGGAAGTTGTGCTTATGAGGAGCTTGTATGTGGGGCTGCCCTCTTCTCATTCATTCATTCATTCATTCATTCAACAAATATTCATTAGCTACTGTTCCGGGGCCTGGGGATACAGAATTGAATACGAGAAACACCGTCCCTGCCCACGTGGAACTTATTCTCTGAGAGAGACAAAAGACAAATAAAAATAAACTACAAATAGTGGGAGGTGCTATAAATCTAGTAAAATGGTGACGGGATGGAGAGTGGCTGCGTTTGGTCGGGGAGAGATGCAATATTAGGGTGGGAAGAGGGGCATCTTGAAAAGACGAAATTCCAACAAACACAGAAAGAGGCGTTCGCATGTGATCCGGGCTTGGGGGATGCATTTAGGCAGAAGAATGGGCACGTGCAAAGGCCCTGAGGCAGGAACCAGCTGGGCACATCAGCAGAATAAGGGAAGTCTGGCCAGTTTTGTGGATGGGAGGATAGAAAGGAGAGATAGATCATGCTCAAGTGGTGAAGAACTTGTAGGTCGGATGAGGAGTCTGGATTTTATTCTAAGTTCAATTAGAGCTTTTTAAGCAGGAAATGATGACTAATTTTTAAAGAATCTTCCCAGCCGCTCTGTGGAGGTAAAGTGAGGTTAGAGTGATCCTCTAACCTTCCTGGTTGCCCACAACCCTTCTGTGAGGTACTGACTGTCCTGGTGCCCAGAACTCCTCACTGGGCTCTAGAATATTGGGGTCCTTAGAGAGGGCACAGGCCTATCTTGTGACCCGGGGGATCCTTTCCAGGTTGGGTCCCTGCACCAGGTGTTTGGCCCCACGCCCGGTGCTGCAGTGGCAAGGCCAGCACCTGTGACATTGAGACATTGTGTTCCCTAAGAGGTGGGACGCTCACCAAGGCACCTGCGCAGCTCCACTCAGGAGCTTGCTGGTGGCAGGAGAAAATGGAAGCGCACATACCACCTAAGACAAGGCTGGAAGCAGTAGATGCCAGGAGAGAGACAAAGAGCTCCAGCTCAGCCAGAAGTTCTCGAGGAGGAGGATGCAACCTTGACTTTCTCTCTTAAAACTCCTACTGGGGCTGGGGGCACTCACCCTCCAGGGAGATTCTCCGCAGTTCCAAGGACTGCTCTGTGAAAATAGCTCCACTGCCATCCCCCTTCTGGCAAATTCCACTGTTACTAAAGTGCTGAATATTCCCTCTACCTGTCATCCTTTTTAATCCCTTTTAGTGGGTAAACACCTGTTACTAATTAATTCTTTACATTCAGTAAAACACATGATGCTCACGAAGCAAGGGTTTTGTTAATGACAATACAAAGTATGGTTTACATATGGGGAGTCTGTGATTAGCAAGGGGTTCCAGAGGGCTCAGTGGAAAGAGCAGGAACAGAAGTCGTGAGTGGTACATCCTATGGCTACTGCTGGGACCAAGAGAACCTGGGCTTTGGCACTGAGCCGGAGGGTCCCGTTAGCAGTTAAAGACATTGACAACCGAGTCAGCAAAGATCAGTATTACAGAGCAATCCGAGGAGGAGGAAATCTGAAGATTCGGAGGACGCCAGGAGGAGGAATCTCAGGTTTTGTAAATGTCCGTTTGGCGCCACTGAGCTCAACTCGATCATTACACAGGTCACGCAGCCTGAAAAACCCAGCGCCATCCCACCTGGCTGTTCTCTCGCTCTCCCCTTCAGGCTGTGGAACCTGATTGTCTGAGGTAGAGTAGCCGGATTGGAGGGAACGAAGCCCTCAGAAGGAGAGGAGCTGAATGAACTGCTCACTCCAGCGTGGGAAGTTTAGCTAGGTTGGAAACTGGAAACGCTAGAAGATCAATATATATTTTTCTTCTGGGGGTTGGAGATGTGCTAGATGTTTCTATTTTCTACTCTCTCCTTCTACTGCGATGTAATATTACAAACTAGTTGCCCCAACTCCCAGAGTGGGTGATACACAAATTTAGGTACATTTATAACAAAAATGCCAGAGGCAGGATTATTTTCAATATTGCATTTATTCAAAAGTACATAAATATATTATTATATAGTACATAATATAACGTAAACACTATAAAACGACTAGAATAATAAAACATCTACTAAGAAAGAAATATTGCTCATCAGGATATTTGTGTCCCCCCAAGTCAGAGCCCCTCATTTACATTACAGTAGCACGGTGGCAGGGCTTCGAAATTGGCATACAAGTTACAGTCATCACAGCACCCGAGGTTGGGACAGGACGCGGCGGTGATAGATGTGGCCGCCGTGACTTTGTCCTGGGCGACCATGGCTGGATCGTTATTTAAGGTGAAACAAACAGGAACGTTTGGAACTCTTAAGAAAAAAACACACAACACACGGGATTACAATCTTCCCTCTCAGGCCATTTGTTAACGAATTGTCGGCGGAGCTGGCAACTTTAGGGCTGGAGCCAGCCATACACGGGACACCAGCCTGACGTGAGAGCTGTCTGCCCCCCTCCCAAGCTCCTATCTAGTTTCTTCCTCTCCTAAGATTGCTAGAAATGTCAAGTCAGATCACAGAGAAGAAGGGAGTGTGACGTGCCAGTGGGGGTCTGGTCGCCGCAGGCCCGCCAAGTGCAGAGCATGATGGGGAAGGGGCCACAGTCGGCCGGCCCCCGGGTCTGGAGTTTACCTTCCAGCTCACAGGCTTAGCTGCCCTAGAATGGGAACATCACTGCTCCTGATGCCTCACCTCTCCCATATTTGAAAGGTCCTGTCCCCAAATTTAATTATGTCTTGTCTGATCTATACTCCCTTGTCAGGTGTCTCCCAGGAGCTTCACACAGCTCTGGCTCCCCACAGTCCGACAGGCCACCACCTCACTGTCCCCAAGGCCATGGGCAGAGAATATGAGCACACCCTGAGCGCCCCTCAGCTCAGGCAAGAGATAGAGTCAGCCCGGCCTGAGGGACCACGGGGCAGAGACTCGCTGGTGCAGTCTTCCCACAGTCTTCGGTCCACAGTGTCGGGGACAGAGGGGCCCAGCCAGTGTGCCGAGTCAACCCGCTGAGGGCAAAGCCCCAACGTTAGTGACAGCACCGCAGCGCTGACACACAGCCACCTGGCTGAGAACACTCACTTATGAGCTCACAACCCCAAGCCAGAAGGGGAGGAAGCCAAGATTCTAGGCTCACCTGCCTTTGCCTTTTTAAACCTGCCCACCCCCCACCTTCCTGACCTTGCCCAGCGCGCGGCCCCAGGGCAAGGAGAGACCCTGCTCAAGGGTCTCATTTGAGGGGTGTTATTTACTCACTCACTTTAATGCCCTGGTCACTTTGATGTAAAGACCAATGACGACACCCATCAACACGAGCATAGCCACCAGAATACAGCTACCAATGCAGAGCATAATTATCGAGTTGATATCAGAAGATGCACCAGCTAGGCAGAGAAGTGCAGGCAAGCAGTGAATATGGCTTCCCTCCCCACACGGCCAGGTAGCAACCTCAAAATGCTTACTTTAGTGAAGGGAGAACGAACCCAGAACCACAGAGCCTTCTGGGCGTGAGACACACATGAGACTTCCCAGGGAGGCCTAGGAGCCTTAGCTGGCCCAGAGATGGAGAAGAAGCTTTGTTTATGAATGAGATGGGGCTGAAATGCTCAATACAGCGAGAAGGAAGGAAAGGCAAGTGGGAATCTCCTCCTCCCTTTCGTAGGCAGTAATGAGCAGTTGTAAATAACAAACAGGCCTGCGCTTGAGCAACTGGTTTTATTCCCCCAAACCTGGCCCCCTGAACTATGTAAGAATTAACCTCTCACTGTATGTCAGACTTAAAACTCTCCTATGGGAACGATTAAGAGAATGACTCTTTCAAAATGTCACGTTCGACAATGCTGAGCATATACAGACCCGTTTTGCAAGCGATACATGTTTTAAGAACTAAGTTTTCAGTTCTCCCACTGACTTTCTTTCTCCTAAATCCTAAATCCTCCCAGGAAATCACCTTTGTCTGGAATAAGCAACTTGTTTAACCCGACTCCCTGAAACTAAGTAACGGTGAGTCAGGAGAGAAGAATAAGCAATCGCTGCCAAACATACTTACCCGGGTCTACGACCTGATAGCCGGATGACCGCTGGCAGTAAAAGAAAAACACAATTAAAATAAGCTTTAGGAAACAGTACATCTTATCAGGAATTTCTTAAACCTTTAACTTGAGAAAGAAAATTCTTATTATCCTCATTAGAAGTGATTAAGATATTAAGTTTGAAGAGCTCGCTTTTAGAAGAGCAGTCTCTGCCACGATTAGCAGAATGAACAGCCACTGTCCAGCTCCAACTTCTATGCCTCTCAGGACACAGGCTGTGTGACATCAACTCTTGAGACACCACCTCTCTTTCTTGAAGTTCTGAATTCCATTCCATGTTCAGATATATTTTAGC